AGACAATTTATATGCACAGTAAATTGTGCTTGCCTGAATCCAGACCTTTCAATCCGCCACTCCACTGAGTTTCAAGTTAACAATTCTGTCAGATATCAGGCAAAGACTGTGCAACAAAGAACTACAAATCAATAGCAAGAAGCTCCTCAGATAGTCTGTGCACTCTGTATTTGTTCAAGGTACTTTCCCTACTCACCACCCATGTCAAAGCCAATCACAGGTTTTTTCTCCGTTTGGCTGTATGAAGTGATGGCGTATCCCACCACCCCTCCAGCTGGGCCAGATAGAACGGCCCGCGAACCGCAGAACTGCTCCATGGGAGTCAGACCGCCATCTGACTGCATGAACAGGACGTCCACACCCTGAGGACAGAGTTCAGATGAAACAGGGTTTATACCTGACACCACTGGAACTGGAACATCTGGAAAATCCTGTCTGTGATCTGTAGGTTCATTAGTAAACCTACAGATCACAGATAGGATTTTAGTAGACTAAGCACTTAATGAAAGAAAAAGTGGTATTTTGTATCAACAAAAAAATAAGTACAACAAGTCCACCCTTGAACCCAGAGGTAAATCCTTTTAAATACTGGTGAATTTTGGGTGTGAGGTATGCATCGGCACAGACGGTGTAGCCCCGAGGCACCGCCCGCACCATGGGCATGACCTCACTGGACAGAGACACCTGGCTGAAGCCCAGACGACGTGCCAGGGCGCCCACTGCTTTCTCATGATCAGACCATCTGAAAGAGAGAGAGAGGGGAGAGGAATGGGGTGGAGTTTGAATGCAAGTCAAACATTAATAAAGCTCTTATACAATGTCACTGCTGCTAACAGTCTATTGTGTGTCTTATCACTTTAAAGCTTTATCTGTGATATAGGTGAGATGAAGCAAAACTGTTGGTTAACTGCTGGTTTCCTGAAGGAGCCCTTTCAACTCAATCCAAATGCTTTGAACACTTTCACTACTCGGGACTAGAGTGAAAAGGACTGCATAGGAATAGACTTGAAGTTAAGTGAAAAGAAATGGGAAGAAAAGCATGAACTTTCACCCATTAAACCACATGGGTTACACATACAATAGAAACATGCTATTGGACACCAGACACCTCTGACATGTACAGAGTACATACCACTACTCCCACAGAGAGAAGGCGACTGAGAGCAGAGAGTTGCATAATTCAGTTTACATTAAAATTAAATCTTGGCTTGGGGAGATGGCCTGAGAAGGAGAGAAAGCTAACGGATAAAAGACAGGACAAGATATCCGATTAGGATCTTGCGTAAATGCATTCTATTCCCGGAGGCACAAAAACAAGATGTACTACTGACGTGTATGAGTGCAGCAGAAGGACGGCAAGACTGGTGATCCCGCGAGACAGAACTCCCTTGAGGTCTTTTTCCACTCGCTCAAGATCAAGCTCCCTCCACACCTCCAGAGAATCCCCTGTACTGCCTGAGGGACACCAGCACACACACGAAGATTATCAGGATTAAGTAAAATGATGTTAAGCATCCAGGCAGTGCTCTCATGCGTGTGCCAGTAGACTGAGCTTGCATCCCTACATTTACAACCAAAAAATACAGGATATTGCCTTTGCTGTATTCCCATCCCCACTGACATATCAGTGTTAAGAGCGTAAACAGAATGACAGCTGAGGAGAACTAGAGGGGGAGATTTGGAGGTAGGGGAGAGTCAAAAAAAAAAAAAGGTTACAAGTACATAGTTGTGTTTCACACCTGTGACAATGCGTTTGGGATCTTTTTTGGGCAGCTGGCAGTCATCTTGCCTGAGAACAACTCGCTCATCCACCTCGATTACCTCTTCATACAGCACTTCGGGAACCGCCACCTCCTGCATATACACGAAAACACACACACGCAAGGCACGTGAATTCAAAGCAGGCGTCCCATCAAGGGGAACATCTGACGAACAGTACACCCCAGCGATATGCAGATAAGAATAGACGCAACACATTGCAACACGCATACAGAAGTTGGATTTCTGACACCTTGCTCTGTAGCAGATCATCAGCTTCATAGATAAGTGACCATTTTAACCATTAATGGCGAAACTGGTATGGGGGCAAACTCCAAGACCTGCCCCTGTATCTGTATCTGCATCTGTACCACTAAATAATGTCTAAACCTTGTGCTGCAGATACACAGGAGCCGTACCCAGGCTACTCATTAACACAAAATACAGTATAGCCACAAAGGCATGGTGGTGCTGACTGGGTAGCCGCGGTTAAGTGGTTGGATCAGCTCACTACTACTTAGGCTGGCTTTTCAGTTGACATGTCACATAAGCATGTCTGTACTCGCTTTACCTTTCAATATTAAACATTTCAGTATATATTCATGTGAATTAAGAAAAACAAGCATTACAAACCAAATCAAATAGTTTCGGCCTGGCCTGTGTGCCTATGTGCAACAAATCCTTGAAGCCCAGCGTGACCAGGAGCGCAGTCCTTTCTCCCTCTCGCTCCAGTAGCGCGTTGGTTGCCACCGTTGTGCCCATTCTGATCCAGCCAATCAGAGCGGTGTCTACGGGCTGGTCGCGAGGAAAGACCCGCCCGGTTTCCTGTCAATAAATCCACACAAACACACATCATATACTGCTCTGCTCATACAGATGATGATGTAGAGATGTAACTGTGATTAACATGATCTTAACGGAAGTCTGGATCTGCTCCTTGCAGTCTGCTCTTTAATAATCTTATAGTATAACAGCCATCAATAGCCATCTGTTATTTGTGTTTTTATGTGGGGAAACTTTTAAACTGCCATCTTGTCCAGGATCCCTTTAAGCAATCCAATGCCAAATAAAGGTTAAATAAAAATAAAATAAAATGAAAACAGCTTCATTGAGATAAATGGCATCTGGACTGGAGTCATACTCTTGTCATAGTGTTGTGTTAAAACTGTGAATTAAATTGAATGAGGAACACATAAGGTAGTCAAAAGGCAAAGCATGGGATTCGGACTTCCAAGTCAAGACAGCCATCTTTAAAAAATCTGCAGCTCAACAACAGTACAAAAAGAGCTTTATATAAATGAATATTAACTACAAAGTGCTTGCTAATATTTCAGAAAATCAGCCTTTGTATTAATACATCCATTCTTTCACGTTACCTCTTCCAGGACTCTGCGGATCCCCTCAGTGGGAGCGTCTTTGTAGTTCTGGGGGTCCCGGGACAGCAGTTTCAGGACTCTCTCTCGACCACCAGGCAGCCGGGCAAACACATCGGTGAAGGTGCCACCCCGGTCGATGGCAAAGTCAAATTTCCCCTTCGTCTCAGTCATAGTGTGTAGAGAGAGAAGAGCTGCTCCCGAGTCTGTGAATAGCTGGAGTCACAGAAAGTAAGAAAGAGGGAGAGATTAACCACATCCACAATGCAACACTGGAGCCTTCTGATAAGAGATCAGCTGAGAGACATAAAATGTATTGATGCATTTTATACACTCCTGCCACTTCTCATGCATATCTTTCTCCAACAGTCATATATGTTTATATGAAATAAAATCGCATTGATTGTCACTTTAACTTGGCTTGTCTCTCACGTCTCACACTTTGAGCTAGTTTGTGCGAATCTATATAGGTTTTCTGCATTATTTCTTTGCAAAAACATGTCATGATTGTGAGTTTAAACATGCTACTAAGTCTATACACTGCATGTTTTTACATTACAAATGTAAATACAACTTGAAAGGGGATTTTGCATCACAGCAAAACATGCAATACCCAGACGATCATAAAGTAAGAGCCACCATAAACTTGCAACGGATTCTGCAGGAAAAGACTAATAAAAAAAAGATATATTTCAAAGATAGTAAACTGTGACAGTGGATACACGAGACAGCTGCACTTCCTCCAAATGAGCTCTAGACTAAACACTTGACATGGTCAACGTGCACGAAATGCCTGCAGCCCATTCACCGTCTGCGTGCACGGGGAGCGTGCACAAAACGAAGTCAAAGCTACAAAGCTGAAGATTTGAACGATCGGACGGTGAACGACATGAAAACTCACCTGTACGCCGCCGCTGCACTGACAGAGTATCGATCTTTGATAATAAGTTAACTATCAGATGATCCTCCTCCTCGGCTCTATGACGGTCTCGTTACAACAGGAAACACATCAGCAAATCGGAGCTACCGCTACGTGCCGCTGACGGGGGTTTAAACTCCGCCCCTCTGCGAGGAGCCGGTACGCAAGGGGATAGGTTATCGGGTCCAATATAGTAGGTGGCGGTAATGCACCTTTCGCTGGATGCCATCCGCCAAAAAACAAAAAAGAAGAAGAAGAAGAGCCGGTATTATGCAGGCAGGGAACCGCACAGCATTTACCTGTCTGCTCCTAAATGATGTAACAGAGAGGCATCTACAGGTGAAGGTCCCTAATCACAAAGATTGCAGAGGCTGCAGTTTTATTTTATCAAGAACCCTTTCAGCAGCATTCTTGATAAAATAAGGTAATAATTGAATTACCTGAGACAAGTCAGTATACTAAAACTGTCCATTCCATTAATCATTTGCTGTTACAATGAATAGACCTCCCCGTGCCTCCAGGTGCCCACGCAGCGACTCTGACACCTGTTGACGATGCACTGGTAGTACAGACTGACAATGACATGGGGAACGAGTAAAGTCGTCCTCTCATTATGATCAATTAACTCAGTCTTTGTAGCTATTGGTAATTTGAGGTCAGGGTGGGAACGGCAGACACTATATTTATATAGCACCTTTCCATACAAAGTCAGTTGGATAAAGTAGGACTTCACCACTTTAGCCACCTGAACATCAAAAGACAATTCTTAGTCAAAATGTACAGAATTACAGCAATAAGAAAGATTGATCAGAAGTAAAAAGGGTGGCTCTTCGCTACATGCCAGTAATTAAAAATTCTTATGGATAAAACAATCCTTTAATCGTTTTTTTGTTGGCTTAAAAGTTGATGCATCTAAGCAAAGTGAAGAAGAAAGAAGTCTGTGAGGTTAAGTGGTATTTATTGATAATTAAGGCACAACAGTACATCAGCAACACAGAGCTGATATTCTAACACAAGTAACAGTGCAGACTTCTTCGTGGCGTGTCAGTGCGGGGCAGTAGTGTAGTCCAGGGAACAGTCTGGTGGGTAACAGAGAGTGCAGTTGGTGAGCCTACATGCTCTTATCGTAGTTAAGGTGGTACAGAGTACATTGTTGAGTTCCCACTTATGAATTAGAATAACAAATTCATGCATCCAATGAATTAGAACATTTTATAATGGGTACAAAGCTTTCTTATAACAAAAAAAAAAAAAAAAGCCGTCGAGTATGCCGACTAATATCACCATATGCATCATGAGCTCCTTAACTCGACAAAATGTGTTTACATGTGCCTTCTCAGAAAGTATTCAAGTATTGCAAATTAACATTTGACTATTAATCGATACACTCTGCTACACAGCTGGTCAGCAGTACCTCAGTGACCTCCGCAGCGCTCGTCAAATACAGAAGCATGCGAGTCAATGCCAACAGCACAGTTCCACTCAAAGTCAGGTGGTTAAACAACATGCGAGACACATTTCAAACCTCTTTGGTAGGTAAGGCATACATGCAGTCAGACTATCACGCAGACACAAGAAATAGAACTCCAAACACTTTTTTTGATTGATCTCGATGCAGAAAATTGCATATCAAGAAAACAACATAGAAAAAAACGTCAACATAAACACTCGGCTATAGCTTTTGTGCACAAAAATAAGGCCACGTGCAATCCGGTATGTAACTACCAACACAGAAAACAACACACCTGTATTGCTATTTTTGCAGTGCAATCATTGTGAAGTTAAAATTCCTTCCCTGCGTAAACAACCATATCTTCATAACAGTCAGAAGTGGTAATTTAATTTATACTGCCTTGTCTAAATGTACACACCTGCATGTCAACATAGTCAATATAATATAGTCTGTTATTCTGACTGCATTGGAAAGCCAAGGGAAACAAGTGGTGGTCAGACATTTGCTGAGAGGAAATTGAGAATGCTTCCAGTTATAACAAGGAGGATGCATTGTATGTAACAATCCCGCAGTTTTTGACCTAAACATACATGTTTTTTTTTCTAGAGGATAGTTTATTTTACATTGAGTCTTTCATTCCCTTTTACTATAGGACCGCTCTTGAGATTCTCAGTGGCAGTTTTGGCATTTAGGATGGCATTTCTGATTGTCGACGTTGCAGCGACATCCTCCGCTGGTGTCTCCAGGACCCTGGGAAAGGATCAGAATGATAGTTATCAAACCTTCAACTTACTTAAATGAAACCCGTGTTATTTTAGCAACCATGCTTTGGCTGTATTTTGGTTTTATTACACGTTGCCTTCATGACAATGAACAGATATTTATTCTTTTGAGAGACTAATCAAACCAAGGTTTATGAATCAGACTTCCATTCCACAGATGTAGACCACCAACACAATGTCGTTTATAAATCATATTTACAAATCCATGAGGAAAGGAAGGAAGCATTTCTTACCGTAGGTCCCCAGCGGGGTCCTCTTGTCACCCAGCAGATCTCAGTGTGACAGACAGTGCAGCGTAGCCAATCACATCCATCTCTCTTCTGCACAATGATGCCACACTGGGGACAGTGCATTGCCTCGCCTGACTGCACAAGAGTCTAAAAGAAAGAAAAAGAGTGTCAGATTTAATTTGATCTGTAAGCATGTGAAACACAAAGCCATCTATCTACGGGTTGTAGCAGGATCTCTGCACGTACACATGGATTGGCTATACCATTGATAAAGTCATCTAATACTATACATGTGATAGACAGCTCAGAGTAGGTCTCTGTTTCCCTTTTACTGCATACACAAATACTCAAGTGTATTCAGCTCGCCTTGAGTAGATGTGTCGTCCTCCTGGCAGCGGAGTCATTTATAGCGCGGGCTACAAGATCATCCTGGTATTGCTTGCAGTTCATTCCTTCGTGGATAGACTGAGGACAGAAGAAAAATAGAAACGGGGACAGAAAAATAAACCTCAGTGAAAAATGTATAAAGATAGAAACATTTCTGTCTTTAAACAGAAGTCAGCTTGAGGGGACAAGAACAATTAAAAAGGTGTGACTCTTGTGTCACTTGCTTCTTTCAAAGAAGATGTTGCTGTTAATAATCTTTACCCTGGTTGTGTGTTTATTCATATTTACATTTAATGCACAATCTCATGTGTTATTTGTGTCATATATATATATATATATATATATATATATATATATATACCGTTTAAACTTCATACCTTGCAAATCAGGCAGTTGTGTTTCCTGCAGACGGGACAGTGGAAGACGTTGACCGTGTCCTCGTACACACACCAGCCCGGACAGTCTGGGGTGGCACAGTGGTAGCTGCCCTCACATCGAGACTCTGCCACTGATAGACCTCTTTGCAGCCAGCGCTCATACTCCTCTGCTGGCACCAACTGTTAAGGCGGAAGGGAAAGAAGTTAAGGAGGACTAGTGAATAGTACTAATAATACTCCTCACATGTTATAATCAGGGTTCAGGTGAACACAACAGCAATTCAATGTCATGAATTCTGAAGAGGAGGACGGTTTCCATTTTGCTTTGAACTCAAGTCACGTGTAGTACACAATGCGCACGTTTTGTGTGGTACATGATGTGTACACGTGGTATTTCAAAGTCCATGTTCTACTTTTCAACTACACATCTCGCTCTACAAACAGAGGCATTCAAACCATTGCCTGTCTTCAGCAGTCTTGGTCGGACCACATGTTATTGTTTAACATCTACAGTATCTGGGGAGTATCTCTTGCTTCATATCAGCTGAAATCAGTCCACGGGGAGAAAGGTCAAAGTCTGGGCTGAAAACAAGTAGCAGAGCAGTAGCTCCAGCTTCTTGGCAGTGTTTGAATGAAAGCAGCGTGCTTAATTAAAACAAAACGTACAGCAAGTGATTTACATATTCTGATGCTTTGTGATAATACTACCGGCTAGTATGCCAGTCATTAAGACAGTCTCTTCTGTAAGAGAGCAAATACTTGGTGTAACTCACAGCCCTGATCTCCCTCTCCTGCAGGGAGCAGGCACAGGAATACGTGTCATCTCTGTAGGGACAGGCCACCTCCGGCTCCTCACTCAGCATGATGACTGAACGTAAGCACTCTCTGTGCAGACACACACACACACACACACACAAACACGCAGACACAGCGAGACACATTTAGGATATCAAATCAAGCTAAACAAACTCTCTTTGTTCAATTTTTTTTTATATCCCCCCCCTCTTCCTGAATCTTACCTGCAGAAGCAGTGGAGACACTCCCTCAGCAGGACACCCTCTCTAGGCTTTAGGTCCACGTAGCAGATCCTACAGTCCACAGACTCTGGGTTAGGCAGCAGGTCCTGGCTGTCCATCATCACTAGCCGGGCAAAATTCTCCCTGCGCTCCTCTTCCTTTGCCTGGCACAGGGGGTGGTGTTGTTGAGAGGGTTAAACCAATGGTCTGTAAACTATTTTGCCTTCAGTTTTTAATCATCATAGGGGCACAATGACATTGGCAATGCAGGCAATTGAAGTATTGTAGGCTAATTTACACATGCAGACACACACATTGTGTATAAACATTTTATTTCAATCTGTTTCACAGAGTATATATACAATTAACAGTGCAAAATTAACAATCAGGCTAATACATTCAACTTAGTGGCATACTCGGGATCTTTAAGAGTTCATTAAAAAGCCCACTTATTGCTGAAAGTCAACAGTGATCATGATCATTAATAAAAGGCGCTGACTTTCATAACCTTTTCCCAAGACTTTGATTCATTTATTTGCCAGGGGCTTGTACCCTACGAAGCAAGGTTAGCCAGATATCTTTGGGCTTCACTAAGATCCAGAGCGGGTTAACGTCAGAGGAGTAGACCAACACCTGTAAACAGCCTGACCCTTGGCCAGCTCACAGGAAGTTCAGAGTTAACATTCCTACGGGACCCTGACAGGGACAAAAGACATTACAAGTAGTGAGGCCAGGTAACCACAAGAGAGTAAGTTGAGCTTGCTTCGTGATACAGGCTCCCGGGCCAAAAAGTGTGTTTATGTGATTTAAAACAATCCATCAGGTACTACTTTTCACCAGAACAGAGTTGCCACATTTTAATAAAATATGAAATCATCTGTTCATACAGTTACTGTAAAATCTCATGAACATGCAAATCACTGGAGCCAGGGACGCACCTGTGCCACCACCTGGTTTACTTATTCTACCACTATTAGGCTGAAATAAGCCTTAAATAGGTGTTGGTGGTATCTGTGCATCTTAAATGAGTCAACTTCAGGGTAGAAATAACAGAACCATATGCTTTCAATTCAAGCACATAGACGTATAGACATAGGCCTGCACATGATTATTTCTTATGTGACCTAAAAGCGAGTGTCTGATGAGTGTAACAGAAACGATGCTACAAGTTCAAACTGTCTGTGAAGGAAACATAAGTAAACATGTGTACGTGTGCCCCTGTCTGTGTGTGTGTGTTCAGTAGTCCTGGTCCAGGTTATACAGGAGGGAGTTGTTTTGAGCCTCAGCACTCCTCAGCACCTCTCTTCTCCCTTTCTCCTTCAAAAAAACAGAGACAGAAGAGAAGAGAGTCAACCTGAGAGGGCCTGCAAATTTGACTTGTCGACTTTGAATCAATTTCATTCTTCCCCTCCTTCGTAGTTTGTCACATTTGGAGCCCTGTGTTGCATCGCAGCTTTTTTACTAAGTAGTATTTGACCCAGAATAAGGTTTTACTGTAAGTATGAAAGAAGATGTTGGTTCATACATACAGGGGTATGATTGTGTAAGACTTTGGGTGCACGGTATGCTCGGCGGTGCAGGTGCGAGTGAGTTTTTCATACCTGCTGGTACTGTCTGATCGCCTCCTTCTCCTGCTGGATCCGTCTGAGTTCCAGTGCATCTGGGCGGTATCCCCCGGGGATGACGTAGTTGTCTGGGCGGTTCGTGCTGCAGATCTCACAGCCCGGCCGTGTTGGTTTGTTAATGTAAGTGCAAGAAGGGCACGACCAACCCTAAGGCACGGAGTAGTTCAGTAAAGAGTATGTTTAAACACGAGAGAAACAGCACTACATGCAAGTTCTGTCTTATCAAAAGGACTTTTCTCGTGACATATTTTATCAAAACATTGACCATTTTGAACAGTGTGTGAATAAAGAAACACCACACGAAATGAACCACCATAGCAGCTGTATATTACCTGGGTGGAAGCTGTGTTGGGGCTCAGTGCTTCATTGAGTTGAGGCATCTCTAGGTTGGTGAGATCTCTGATCTCACTGATGTTTCCTCTCTGTGAGCCACCTGCAACATTTATTGAGGAAAATTAAAACTAATAAGCAACCAGTGAGTTAGTCATGCTAGAAGAGTATATGGGGTTTAACAATACATTGGACCACATTGTAGGTTTAATGTAAAGTTCTCAGTTCAGTGGGGCTGCAGTGCCAAGATAACATCTTCTGGTATTGTTGCAGCATCTTCCACAGTATACTGTAAAGCACTGCTTTTGCTTTGTGTTGGGCAGCTGCTCTAAATAGCTCAGGTCATAAATATTTTATAACTAAAATTGAAACATGTTCAGGCTACTTCTTCTACCTATTACTACAACAGTTTGTGATTTACAGAGTATTTTAAGAAACCATTAGCATTAATGGTGATAGGAAACAAATGACACTTATAATACCATTCGTTGGGCGGATCAATCTTCTACTGTGTTACTGTCTAATGCACGCCCTGCGATAGTCTGACGACTGGTCCAGGGTGTACCCTTCCACAAAACCACACGCTAATGCTCTCACTCACCAGTGTTGGTGCTGGTATGGAGTCTAGGTGGCAGGGTGGCGTAAGGCCTCCGGTCCAGGGATGAGGGGCCGTTTGCAGAGGTAGCAGAGAGGGGAGGAGTGGGGAGAGACAGGGATGGAGGGCTGAGGAGGAGGGCACTCTCCTGGTCCTGCTGCAGGACATGGCGGGTCAAGCGAGCATGACGGGCTGACAGGAGGTACAAGAAGGACGTGTCACCGTCCTGACGAACACCATATGAAGCCAGAGAGCGCTGGTCGGTGCACAGACACTGGCCAATCACCCAGCGCTGCACCCGCGGGTGAAAGCCATACTCGAGAAACATCTGAGGTGGTAGAAAAACGAAAATTACAAAAAAATGAAATGTTAACCTTTTCGATGGACTGATAGTGGTTCTTTCTTTTTTGAATTGTGGTTTTGAGCTATATAAATAAAATTGACATGATTCTTTCAGGACACAAATGAAGAAGAGAAGCATTCTTCAGACCAACCTGCTGTTTTAGTGCTGCGGTAGTCATATGCGGGGAAACTTTCACAGTGACACAACAGGACGAAGACGAATCCTCAACTGCAACCGCCAAGCTGTTAGATAAAACCAAGCACAAGCCATTAGCCACGTTGTCTAAACTCTGTCTCAGGATCTACTTTATATCACATTTTGAAATATAAAATGTAACATTTCTCGACCATCAATCCCGTTTTTGAAACGATAATTAATAATGGCGATGCTCCTACTTGATTTCAGTGTCTTCATAGTCCCTGGCAGAGGGCTGAATCTTGAGCGCGGCATTTTGTCGGGCGAGTGTGGCAGCAAAGTCAGAAGCAGACTGCATGTCTCCTGCTTCTATGGCTCTGGTCAGCTCTATGCAGGTATCCTCTACAGATGGACACACACACACACGCACGCACACACACACACACACACACCCACACAAGGAAACACCGACAAGCCCACATGGGTGAACATACGGGCAAGTGTGTGCAGAGGATGTTGCCATACCTCCAAACAGCCACTAGAGGGCTAAAAATGATTGAATGAATGAATGAATGAATGAATGAATGAATAAAACGAGTGAAGGAGTCAGTGAATTAGTTACATCACATCTAAAAAAAACATCAGGTAATATTCCATATTGTAAGGAAGATGTTTAGCGTTCACACCTGTTCGTTGCAGGGCCAAGGTGTTCTCACGATGGAGAACGTCTAGGGAGCGCTGTGGATCAATATCTTGAGGGGCGACTGCGAAATGTGGAAAACCAGAGCAAAGCATTTTGATAAAGAAATAAAACCCAAGAAAAAAAACCCACCAATCAACATTTCCACAGTGGGCTAAAGGCCTGCCCTACTGTCTGCCGCTGTGGACGGAAATCTTTAACTCTTCGTCTTCACAGGAACGGAAACATTTATCTTAACAGAGACACTTTATAGTACAACAGACAGGAACTTAAAATACAAGGTGAATACTTTGTTCTGATCTTGGATGGTTATTTATCATTGTATGCTGAGTTGGTTAAAAAATATGGGCCAGAAATTGTGTTACAGCTATTGTTGCCAATTAAAAAGAATCATCCATAACACAGATCTTATCATTCCACAATAACATATTGCTTTTTTACTTTCTTTACTCTTTCTTTATCATTTACATGCATGCAAGTAAGCACAGACCAACTTATTGAAATCCCCCCCGAAGCCAAAATATGAGCAAAGAAAAGCTCTTTTGTTCAAAAAATGCATAACCAGCTTGATTCGTCAAGCTCAATTAAGTTCACTAAAGGGCAAATGAACTCCACCAAATCACACACACAACAGGGATCTCGTACTGCACCATTGTACAGTTTAGGTTTGAAAAGGCTCAAAGGATCCTGTTACAAGGTATGACTTATTTACACCCCCCCCACCCCCCTTCTCGCTGTGGTTGTTATCTAAAAAAAACAGTGAGGGCAACTGACCTCTGAGTGCTTCTCTCAGTGAAGAAGTCACCACCGTAGCCCACTCCTGGGCCTCCTTGTCACAGCGGAAGTTGAAGCTGATGCGGTCATATGGAGGCGCCGACAAACTCAGCTCGTGGCACTTTGGTGACTTCACCTCATATTTGACGGTCCTCAAATCAAACTCCACGATGGTCTGGGAGAGGAGGGACAGAGAGGGAGAATAAAGGAGAAGAGGTAGGGAAATATTGGGCAAATTAATCATAGGTTACATTATGTGAAAATCACTGCATGTGTGCACTTGCTTTGGTAAAAACGTAATTTTAACATTCAAATTATACTGTAATAACCATAAATATAGATGCACTGTTACAGTATGTGGCCAAGAAAATGTCAAACAAAAAAAACAAATCTGACATATTCTGTAAATGGAAACATTTATTTAAGAAAATGCAATGAATTCAAAAGAATATCGGCATAATAATCACTGAGTTAAATATAAGAGTTTCAACAAACAATGTGATAAATGTAGGACTTATTGGAGATCTGTTGCATTACACAGCATCAGTTGTAGCTTGGTTTACCTCATACACTGGGACTGAGAGTAGCTGTATAATGAAAGCTTGTCCTCTGTGCCAGTGCTTTCTAACCTGAGGATCGGGAGCCCTCCAAGGCGTCAGAAACTAAATCTGAGGGGTCCCTGAACTATTAATAAAGTAAGAAAGAAGAAAAAAACAGTCTATTTATAAATAAATAGTATAGTTTATAAATAAATACAATTTAAATAAATCTTCTGGTTTTCACTACTCTTAGCTTTTTTCCCCTGTGCAATACTAGACAGTTTAACCTCCTCAGGCCTTAAAGGATGTATTCATATACAACCTGTAATGATAGGTCAAGCGTAGACATATAGCCTCTTATTGCAGAGTCCCCAGCAGTGCTGGATTACCAACTGGGCAACTGCTCCACCTGACCTCTGACCTACTAAAGCTCCACAGGCTCGTGCTTCACAGTGTGGCAGTGACTTTGACACAGTCATAATATGTACCAAAAAACGTCTTTACTCCATCTTGAGGCCATGTCTAACAGAGGGAAAAGTAATACCCACATTGTGTCATTTGATATTATGCTTACACGTACCTAAATAAACGTGCATCACTAAAACACATCACAACAAGCAGGACTTGCTGCCCTGAACTCACCACGCTCCGGCCGGTCCCGCTGCTGTCCTGGAGCGACAGCCGGAATTCCCCGGACTTCCCCGGGTCCATGCTCAGCTGCAGGCGGAGTGACTCGTCACCCGCTCCAGGAAGACACAGCGGCCGAATACCGGAATGGCACACCGACACCCGCACCGACATGAGGACGGTTTGGCAGCCGAGTTGTGACTGCGAGGCCCCATAGTGACTGGGGAGGACGGCGGACTGGTCCGGTGTGTAGCCGGGGGTTTGAGCCCAACCGCCCGAACTCAGCGACATCCTGCCAGCAGACTCATGAAGAACACAGATACTCGGGGTCCAGTGGGTTGTTTACCTTTACGTGTCCTTTAACAATATTTCTTACATTTCATCTCGTCGCTGGGTATTTAACAGCCACACTGACAACAGGAAGCAAGTGCGTCGTCTGTCAACTGTTTGGAGCGACTTCCAGAAAGTGTAGCCCAGCTAAAGGTTTCACTTCTCTCTTCTTCCGTTTTCGTTAAAGCGTCGTTTCAGGCAAATTTACTCTTTCCTGTTGGTTCCGAAACAATAAAAGTGCTCTTCGAAATATCCCATTCCCTTCCTGACATCAAGGTTATGGACAATAGTAACGATGAGTATGTTGTTGACGTTGTTGATGTGTATACAGCTTTCACTTCGTATTGCGCATGCGTGGTAGGCTGTCTTCTTCTCTGACTTTTAAGGACAGCTGGCGTCCGTAGTTTTGCATTGCTGCCATCTTCTGGATTTAGTTAACTCCTACAGTGTCCGGTTTGTCAGATTTTTCTCCACTTGAAGCTGACCTAATGTCATCTGCCTTGTTCATTTCCATCACGCTCCTTTGTTTTCTTTAATCCTGCTCTTGTTAGCCCTAATATGGTCTTCCTTCACGCATCCCTGTCTACATCAGTAGTGCTGAGGAGGAAACTTGAGGAAACTAAAGAGGGCAAAATTCCTGGGCCAAGATCTTGTTAAGGAGCAACAGAAAGCTCCTGACTGGAAACATTACAAACTGGCATGGGATGTGCACGGCCCAGGACAGGAGTGCTCTACAGCGGATGATTAAAACGACCCAGAACATCATTGGTACCCATCTACCTATAGCATCAGTGATATACACCCACCCAGCCACAGCCAGTTCACCCTGCTACCGTCTGGCAAGAGGTACAGATTTATCAGCTGCAGTGCCACTTGAATTCAGAGCAGCTTCCTCAGGCTTTTCATCCTCCACCTTCCATGACAAAGACAATAAATTAAACCTTCTTTTTCTGCAACTAACAAATTAAAAATAAAAAAGTACAAATATTCCTCTGTTTCTGGTCGCTTACCTCCAATGTTCACAAAGGCCAGTTGGATTCTTCCCTATTACGTGCCTTTCAGATGACCGTGTCCTGTTTGTAATCTAGTCACTATTACCTCCTCTTTTCTGTTTCTTTTCATCACAATACACTTTCTACTTAGAAGTGAAAGTAAATCTCTTCCCCTTATCTCCTGGTCTCAGTGCTGTTGCCACTCTTTATTGATTTTCTTCCCAATGCCTTTTGATACGAACATCTTTTTTAACAGCTTGTTCGCTTTCTCATTACCCAGAATGCCCACTTGAGCAGGAACCAAAACAAACGTAACTTTGCCTTGTTTTTTATTACTATTGAATGTGTTGCCAAAGAGTAAGTCTTGGCAAAGGATGTACCTGATTTAAGATGCACAGAGCAGAGTCTGAGTCACAGACAACTATAACTTTGTTTAGTTTAATTTGTTCAATTAATTCTAAAGTCATCAAAATGTCTACAACCAAACAGTATACACACTGGTTGTATATTTAAACTCTGTGCCTAACTGCAAATATAAATGCTGTGTTTCCTGTTATTGGATCTTTGGATCCATTGGTAAAAAACTGCATCTATATATATATATGCAATCTCCCCCTGGGGATGAATCAAGTTTATATCTATCTATCTATCTATCTATCTATCTATCTATCTATCTATCTATCTATCTATCTATCTATCTATCTATCTATCTATCTATCATATAGTCTGTATATTTAAACTCCTTAAACCTACAAAAGTCACTTCCTAAATCTGCACCTTTATTTCTTGCCTTAATTAGAAGTAATTCCAAGTCCGCCAACAGAGTTTCTAGTACTAACCACACAGGGATTATTACAGAACTCCTTTTCATATACGCCCAAATCTGATCCTATCTGATCCCTGAGCCCGAGCGTTGTTCACATCCTACTGGTACAATTTTTGATATAGATCCATAAACTACACTTCAATAGTCTAACCTTGATCTAATTACAGCTACTTATATATATTTCAAGGATGCAATATTGGCTGCCCATGCAGTGAAATAGCAGCCATTTAGTATAAAGTATGTGTGTGTGTGCATATATTTTTTACCACAAAGGGGCAGCAGAACATCTGATATAAAACATTATAAGTCCTCCCTTCTCTTCCTGATATTAATTTTGCTGTTATGTGATTTGTCATCTTAGGAATTACATTAAAAATATTCAACCAGCTAGTAAAAAATGGTCTGGTTTTATATAATAAACAATCTGGCAGTATAAAGCCATTCAAATGTGTCCCATCTTAACCTGCAACATTTGAAATGCTTTTTAATACATCAGTAATTTTAATCCTGCAGTATAATTGTAGATGATCATTATGTATAATGAGTGTTTTTACTTTTGATACTTAGAATACATTTTGCTAAGTAAATATTTTGACACTCAAGACTTTTACTTGTAAGTACTTTTAAATTGTGGTATTACTTTTCTTCAAGTAAAGGAAGTATCATGATCTCCCTTCTCTCTATATAGATTGTGTTGCATTTTGTGCTATTTATCTATTCATTATGTTTTTTTATGACCTGTGTGACATATATGAGTATTTCTATGCTGTAACTTGCCGCCTACATGTTCATTAAATATATGTAAATCTAGTATCCATTACAAAAGAAAACACTTTCTATGCTGTTTGCAGTTGTACTTAATTAAAATAAGGTTTTTTGCCTCCACAAATGACCATACATCAAATATGTTCTTCCTCACAACAGCAGTTTAATGCAAGTTAACAGGACCTGTATGTAAGAGTCTACATTATAATTCTCACACACTGTTTCATTTGCTTGCCTTGCAACAAAGTCATCTGTGACACAAACATTTGGCATATTAGAGTCATTAGAATAGAATACATGTTTTTTTCACAAGCAGATAATTTGACCTGGGACTGTAGGGAAAGCACAGGTGTCCCTGAAAACATTAACGATGGCTTCATTCTATTCAGGCGTCCCATGATATGTGAGCCGGCATGCACAGTAAAACCAAAGCCGAATTTTAGCCATCATTGATTACTTATTTAGTGCTTTAGTGTGCTTTTCCTAATGTGACATGTCAAACTGTCTTCTGCTAAACGTTGTTCCCAATCACCCCATCCCTGCAGTGGAATGATTCTAAAGAGACTTCATAAGGTGGGTGTGGTCACGACCATCCAGGTGAGACCCATTCGATTCGACTTGAATATGTCCTTATGTCTTTTCTATCCTTTTAACCGCTGAGATGTATGTTTGGTATTATAAGGCATTCACGTTTGAGGAACTATGAAACTTGTAATCTGAATGCTGTTTGTTCTGAAAGAAATCCTGCACCAACCTACCTTTGAAGAAATGCCCTGACTTCCCTTTTGAAAGCATTTTAAAGACAGAGGCTCAACCAAACCTAGTCAATGTATGTCCCTGCCCACGCACTCTGTAGGTCACGAATTACGAGGCAATTAACAAAATATACTGTAGCACGAAAGGGGAATGATTTAAGATCACATAGCTCGGCCGGTTCAAGCTGTTAATCATGCTGCAAGCAGGGTTTTCTCAATCAATACCCCATGAACCCCTGCGCCTCCATTCACAGAAACAGCGATACCACAGACGAGATTAAGCCATTCAATCAGGCGCTGGTGAGACTGATATCATCGCGTCACATGTCAGAGAAGGCATTATGATACAACTGAACCAATCTTGAGCGAGGAAAATGACGACCTAAGCAGTGTATTTTGTAAACAGTGGTGATTCAAGGATGCATAAAAATAGGTTTAGAATAAAAGAATATACATTGCAATGTTGAATATCTATTTGTCTCGAAATCTATTCACGAGTAGCATCATAAAGGTCACGTTTTACCCACAAAACAAGGATGACCAAATCGTTCACACCTGCCTGTAAGGGGGCATACGAAGAAGCAACGAATGTCTGTGTTATCAAATAAAGGCTCTCTGTCATAAATCAAATTAGCTTCATTATTTGAGGATTCTTCCATGTTGTGGTGTGATTACACATCCGCAGGTAGTTTTCTTCTCATATTTGCAGCCATATGCTCTCTCTCAGGAAGGGCTTGTGTCTGCATCATGCCATTTGATCTCAGCCTATTTTAAAATGATGGCTGCCCTAATGTGTGGAGGGGAACCAAAGTGCTGCCCGGGGGTGTACGTGCACATACACTCATACGTCACACACATACATACACCCTTTTACGTCACATGCTATGCAGGCGGTGATTTAATACAGTTTTACATGATTGTAGAGGGGAAAAGTTTATCCCAACTGGATCCTAATGATTCATCCACTTAAAATACACATTGTAAGGAAACTGACATCACATATTTTGTACGGTACATTGCAACTATAGAGTGAAAAGGTCACATGAACCTACAGTAGAGCTGCAACTCATTTGTTTTCATTATAGAATAATGATTGATTTTGTTGATTTGTTTCTTCAAATAATCAATTAGTTGATGAAATGTTAGTTCTGTAATGACTTTCGACTGGTTGTTTTGCCAGTCCAAAACTCATAAATATTGAATTTACTATCATAAAAGAAAAAGAACATCAGCACATTTTCACATCTTAGAATTTGGAACCATCGAATGTTTGGCATTTAAATGACTAATTGATTATCAAAACTCATGTGATTCAGTCGATTGACCAGTTGATTGATTGATTAATCTGGCATTGACTAGCCTGCAGATTGGCATTCAGAAAAATAATTCATTCATTCCATCCTCCATCAAATTATGAAGTAGCAACAAGTATGATATGAAGTTATTGCGGACTAATATATTGTGACTTGATTATGTATTATCTGTGTTGCTCACACCTGGTTTTATTATCCCTAACTATTGTCAACATGTGTATTTAAGCATGTTTATGCATGCGTGTATGATGTGTATGCGTGCATGTGGATTGTGATGCTGGCAAGTGTTGTGGGATGCAGCGGCCTGGAGCCCAAGACAAATTTCCCTGGAGGACAGTAAATTACATCTTATCTTATCTTAGTCATTTTAGCTCTACTGCAGAATCCATTGACTTAGTTCTGCAAATAAGCATTCTTTCAACATTTACAAAAGAACCCTATAAAAATTGTAGTTGAAATAAATGAATTATGCAGATCTTAGGGATACATTTTGAGCAGAACCGTCATGCAGTATTGTGACCTTTACGGACATCGTTAGGCCCTGAGGTGACTTTACACCTGCTACATATCTGTTAGAAAAGTTCTCCTCACCTTGGCCTCTCACTTGTGATTCATCACGGTCACCTCTCAGCACATGCTAAGGGCTTGACAGTAATATTAATTCCCATGCAGCTACATTATAGGTCCTATATAGTATATTTAAAGCGCTCACTCACTCCTGAATCAGTTTTATATTGTGTTTTTTGATCTCACTGATCTAAAATAGAACATTTCCAGCTGCAACACTAAAAGTTCAATCTTTTACTTCAGTGTCAAATGTTGTTTTAATATCTCAAAAGAGTGACATTTGGTGCAGTGAGCAGTTTGAATGTAGAATATTTGGAGCAGATTCGTATTAAAAAAAGTTCCAAAAGTGTAGTTTTCCGGTGACTAATTCACCAGGGTTTTTGCAATAGTTCTGCCTCCCCCCCTGTAATCCGGCTGATTGATGAAAGGCTCATCAAAAAACGCCCACCACAGTCTGACAGACCGACTTGGGGTGGCGGGTCTCCCCATGTTCACTAATTCAAAGTTGTCCGTGTGTTATTGACTTCCTGATGGACTGCTCTGATGCGTGACAGACATCAGGAAAACTCCCAAACTAAACCTCCTTTCTCAAAACGATGAGGGGGTTTCATAGAGTGGGAGGAGAGGAGGCGGGGGGGGGATGATGCATCCTGTAGTCTAGTCTGGGATCACTGTGTGACTGACGTTCTTGATTCATCATCCAACAACAACATGAGCAGCATGGATATATAAGCTGGAGCACACCTGCTTAACAATAACGACTTCAGACCTCCACCAACTGACCTCAGCCTGTTACCAAAGTTCAGGGTAAGGAGCTGCTCTTACATTATTCTTTTGTTTATTTCTTCTTTTTTTTTTACAGTCTGTCATATTCAGTGTATTAAATAGAATGAGGATACCAATAGATTATGTGCTTTTTTTGAGTAGAGGTACTCCAGGTAAATGTGTGTTAACTACACTCATGTAACTGTGCTACACCATTGGTAGCCTGTTCAATTTGGTAAATGGGCTTGTATGATATTGATGCTATAGAGTTCATGGTAACAATAGTGTATATTTAAATCCTAGTATTTTTAGATTATTGTCACATTACTATATGAGCTTTTGGTGCCTAGTAATACGATTTAAATGACATCCAATGTCATGGTATTTTTTTATCTCTTATAAATAATTTCCTACAATATTACTATATGACATCAAGATATTTTTAAGTCTACTTGTATCAGTTTCAACTTTTTTCCTGGCTTTGTTTTACTAGTCTTTCTGTTTTCAGTGTCCTTACGGTGTGTGATACTTTACTGACCAGCGTCCATCCGTCCTCTCCAGTGCCTTGAGAGACTCCACAGCATGCTGCCGTGCGGAGCGGTTGATGTCCGGCACTGCGTCCTGACGAGCCGCTGGCTGCCTGCATCTCTGGCGCTCCTCCTCCTCGTCTCCTCCAGCTTCAGCGGCGCTCACAGCACCACGGTGGAGCACGACTTCCACATTGTTCACAATGTCGACAACAGAAGTAAGACGTGGTTTTTGTGTCTTTATTATAACCCTGAAGGGTATTTATGAGGCGTAATAAGACAGACAGTACAATGGTAAGACATGTTTTAGAATATACAGAATGTTTATCGTCTCTTTTTGGCTCTTAGTGGTGAGTTCAGTGATTTTCTTCTACTTTTTGTTCCCATAAAATACGTTGTAAAATACTGGAAAATATCCTTATTCTTTAATCTTGTTAACTATTCGATTTAACTTCTAGAAATGAAGTATGTTGTCAATAGACTACTGTTTGAGTCGTTTTTACTGCATTCAATTAGCTATTTGTTTTAAAGAGAGATGCTCAACAATTTAGTTAGTTTAGAATGAGGAATATCCTTTAATGCCCAATTTGTGGTACACTAGTTTGCCATGTAATCTACCAAGTGTATTATTTTGTTACAAATGACTGTATTTATTTGTATTATGTAGTGGTCATATGAGCATATTAATGTATTTAGAATTTATTTTACATTGAACCGAGGTTTAAGAGGGAATGTTTCGTTATACTATTTTCTATATACTTTGCAATGCTACAGTAATACTCAGTAAATGTATCCATATTAATTTGTACTTATATCACAATGACTTTAAAATAATGTATCCATCTAGTTCCTGCATACATCAAATCAGCTTAGAAGATCATCCATGTTCACACAGTGTATGAAGACAATAATCTATATTAACACTTAAAAAAGAAACTAAAGACAAAAAAAGTAGTTTTCCTATGATAACAAGAATTATGATTTTTCAGGAACACATAATGGACTCATTGTCACTCAAAAGGGAACTCTGTTAATATTGTAATCATAATTAGCTCCATTAATGTTCTTGGTGTGGTGTCCAGGTCCAGAGATAGACCCATTCTGGTACGTGGGGCGTGGGGTGAGACCCATCGGGCGTTTCGGCAAGAGGCACAGCAGCGTGGAGGCTCTGGGCAGCAGAGGGATGCAGCCTGTCCTCAGGACGTTAGGGCTGGTGATCAACAGCCTCAGGAACCAGGAGAACCTCGGGGAAGTGCTGGACGGGGAGGACAGGGATTGGTTACCGTGACAAAGAGTCCTTTCATCTACAAACTCCAGAGTGTCTTCATTTTTTAAAATCTTGATTGAGGTTATAAACTCGTCTGCTCTAGCTCTTACCTGTATTTCTCTCTGGTGTCTGTTATGAGGCCTTGGTTGATAGGTTCCTTGATATCTGTACATAAAATTCATTCTATATTGATTAATAAACCAGGATGTTGTGATTATGTCTGTTCGTCACTTTGTATATGCAGGCGCACGACAAACAGTTTCTTTCAAAAGGGAAAGCTTTACGTTTGCAAATTTTATTCATTTCATAATACATATTTTGTCTCGGAGTACTGTGGCACATAGAGAAACTGTATTTTTTGCTTGTTAGTATTTTCCCCAACATATGGATTGCAACAAACGATTGCCCATTGAAATGAATGGCCCGCCTGTGGAGATGTGCACAGTGAACCTCATCGTAGTCATTCACACTGGATTTAAACAGGAACAAAAGCAAGATCTGTTTTTAGCTCTGTGTGAATATCTGGGACACAGTTACATATTCAATTAGACTTCCTGTCCGAATCCAGCCTTACAAGTTATGACAATTATACACAGTCTCTTGCACACAACACTGAAAGATTGGTCAACTATGATTGGGCAATACACATATTATTCTATATCATATCCATCTTTTCACACATATACATATATTAATAAATTCTGTGATGAGATAATATATATATTTTTTTACATTAGAAAAATATTGGACACTGATGATTGGACCCTTGTGGCTGTGCTTCTCGTGGGACATTTTACATCAATTTTGATAAAACCAGAAACATGCTTCTATACATCAACACCTCCGGCAGAACAAGATTGACAAAAGTACAGGATCAATGTGCAAAACCCGAGATGTGAAAGACCGGGATGAATAGGTCACCAATAGAAGGGGCAAGAGCATTCATACAGAAGATCACACCTTTTAGTTCAAGCAGTCTATCAGGAAATCCAACTTTGCTCTGCCACAGCAAAAACGTTGACAACCATGCATGGCTAACTGAGATTCTGACTAATGTAAGTGGTCACAGAGTAAAGAAAAATAACCCAAAAATGAAAGGCAGTATTCTCAAATCTAGTGTTTAAGGAGTACAAATACAGTATGAATCGTACAAGCCGCTCCAAAAATGCCTGTTGTCACTCATGTTTTTGTAACATTTACCATCGTCATTACTGGCGGAATATCAAATGGGAAACGCAGGCATACACTGAAAGCACTTTGAGACATCACACATGAGAGAGTCTCATAGGACTGACTGAGGAGGGCTCCTTTGAGGAGAGAATAAAGCCTTTAATTTGCAATAGTACTTGTTTCAGTGGTATTGCATAAAAATGTTCAGTAAGTACAAAAATAAATTGCTTGTAACAAAATCATGGTTTCATGGCATTTTTTTATATAGTCCGTCAGACTTCATTATGTAAAAATCTTTACAAGATTATAAGATTGAAAAGTTCGGACATGACCCCGGCAAAGGGGAAACATGAGAACACCTTTTTGTTCAAATAAAAGGCCACGATTTTTGAAAGTAAACAAAGAAAATGACTTTGGGTTGAATAATACTGCACGAGGGAAGGCTGTCAGACCAAACCTGAATGTCAAACAAAGACTTGTGTCTCGCAGAGTTTGTCTGTTGTTCAAAACTTATTTTGACTCATTTCAATGTGAAAGCTTCCACATTAAGACTGTAGTGTAGTGTGTGTGTGTGTGTGTGTGTCTACTGATCAGTTGTTTGACTTTTCTAATGAAAGGGAGAGCACCTCTCCAGTTCATCTTTATAATTATTATTAAAGGAATAGTTGGACTTTTTTCTGCTGAGAGTTAGATGATAAAATTGATGCCCCTCTTGTGTCTGTGGGCTACCCTAAAAATACTGCTGACTAGCTTAGCTGAAAGACTTAAAGACTGAAATAAGAGGAAACAGCTAGCCTGGCTCTCTCTGAAGGTAACAATATCGGCCTTTTTGTACAGTTTAAACAAAAACAATGTATAGGTTAATCAGTGAGCTTTAGAAGTGCTGCTTGGCTAATATTTCTACCTATTTGAACAAAGTCAAGCTAGCTGTTTTCCTATCGTTTCCAGCCGTTATGCTAAGCTAAGCTAACAGGCTACATATTCACTGTGAAGACATCACTGTGGTATCGTTCTTCTCCTGTAACTCTTGGCAAAAAAACTAAGCCAAAATTATTCCTCTGCCTATTTCTCTGAGGCTGTTGACAAAGTTCTCAAGTGTGCTTTGTGTTCCATTATTGCCATCTAGCTAAAAATATTTTGGCCCCAATACTTTGTGTATCTAAACACTCATTCTCTGATATGTAAATTAATCCTTAAAATGATTAAAATGGCAAAAGGTGCAACATAGTTCCCCAAATGACGATTACCATCTGCTGGCTGTGTGTGTGTGTGTGTGTGTGTGTGTGTGTGTGTGTGTGTGAAAATGCAGAATCACCCAAAAGATTTCTGAAGGGGCTGACAGTATGATGAGATTCCTCGTGACATTTCATTGAAGATGCAGTATAAAACACGGCTCAGCCTCTTTTTGGGACACTGAATCACAGAAAGTTTCACATGATTTTTCCACGTCTTCATTAAACAGTAAATCACAATACTCTTGCAAACAGATAGAAAAAAGGAAATTAGAGTTATTTTTGTCTGTACAGATATTCTTTTTCAGTTGGGTCATGAGCAGTGTTTGCAGATGTTTAAGGCAGAGGCACAGACTGTTGAGTCATCCTTGCTTGATATTATGTGCGTGGGGAGGAGGAGAAAATGGAGAATGAAGAGGAAAGAGACAGTCATCCCTTCTGTGAGGCATTTGACTGATGGGGTACCGTGCCTGGGCTGAGGGCTGAGTGCTTGGTAGGTCATACAGGGCAGGTGTTGGCCCCTGCTTGGCCTGGAGCTGGGGGCGGACACTGGGTCAAGGCACTGGATGAGATGGGCCCCCGTCCCTGGGGCTCTGAAAGCGGCCCCTGAGGGACTCGTTGTGCTGCTGACTGTAACTATGGCCGAAACACTTTAACCTGCTGCTCGGGCTCCAACTTTTCTGAAACGCAAAAAAAAAAAAAAACAGCATTTAGCAAATCAGACTTTTAAAAAGATATCTCCAGCAAAAAGCGTAGGTTGTCCAGAAAAAAGAGAAACTATTGTGAACTATTATCTCTAATCTATTATCTATAATGGCAGGACAGTCTTCCCAGTCATACATTCTGAGCATACTGCATGATGGACTGACAAAAAGGACATGCGAAGCTGGAATCAATGATATGATTACATGTCTTGGTCACTGATTTTGCCCCATTGTCCAGCCTGCTGTCTGTCTTTGGAGCTGTGCTGAAAAAGCCACCCTGAATCAGCTCTATTGTATGAATGCTGCCGAAGAAAGAAAAGAGACAGAAATGCAAATAAAGACAGAAAAAGGCCATTCACCGAAATGAAAAGGAACAGACTCCTTGTTGGTTGATAAAACAGCCTTATCCTCCTGTGCTGTGCCGGTTTCCATTCGGCTGCTTTACATCTAATGGAGCTTTTCAGTTACTTAGTCCCTTTTTACCAGATGTATTCACTTTTACATCCATTTAGATGCCAATCTCTTCTTTTAGGACAAAGTGTGAAATGTGTGATGTTAACTAAGGGTCCACTCGTCTCTGTCTCACTCCCCATCTCCAGCTGTCTTTGTTGCACACTCAGAGTGCACAAGGCTGTTGAGTGTTTCTGGATAGAAGATTTTGCATTGATGGTGTACAGTAAACTGCATAAGTCAGCACAGGTTAGAGGATCCACGTTACTTTTGTTTAACCTATTGATGATTTTCTCAAAAATGCATGCTTATTTCATTAGAGGTTTGGGTTTTTCACTGTTCAGACTTACATTACATTTGATTTATTTATGCATTTTCTTTGTGTGTACGCTTTGAGAAAAATACAAACTAGTTTGGTACCTTTCAGTGGAGGGGCTGGAAGCTTCCTCCTTTGATGGCGTGATGAGTCCAGGGTTTGAGGCTGTAATCAGAGTATCTGTGTCACACACTTCATCAATCATCCTGACTTGCAGCTATATGTTCTTATTCAGTGTCAGGTTTTAGTTATATAATTGGTAGTAAGTTCTGTGCACATCCACAACACCTCAGTGGGACGGGCATACATCGTTTCTACCAACTACAGGTCCGTCCTCTGGTAAAATGTTACTTAACCGACAGTACTTAATGGTAAAATGTTCGCATGCAAAACCAGACGAAGATAGTTGTAGGGTACCCTTGGGGCAGTGAGTTACCTTAGCCTTTGGCTTGAACTTGGAGAAATGATTGCAGACAGTCACATTCAACCCAGCTGTCTTCAGAGCTGATATCCTAGCCTCGATGTTTGAAATCTTGAAAGGACACACAGACTTTATTTAAAAGCACAATTAAATACAACATAAAAATATAGTTTTGCAGTCTGTTTGGCACAAACACAACTGAAGATAAAGACAGCTGCAGAAAAAAAGGGACACATCTTCCAGTACCTGTAGTTCAGACTGCTGAACCTGAGCAGCTGCGGTGGCCACCTGGTCCTCCAGGAAGGCCAGCTCTGTGTCTGTGGTGCCACTCTTAATATCGCGGGCACAATGCTCCAGGTCCCCCAGCGCCCCCTCAAGCCCGTACACGGCACCAGCAGCCAGGTACACCTGTCAGGGGAAGAAGAAACATTTAGTTCGAGCTAGACCTTCAGTTTCCAATAACATTGAATCTCCACAACCTTTTCTTATTGGGTAGAACATCCTTACATTCTCCTCCATCTTGGTCAGCCTCTGGTCCAGCTTGCGGGTCTCGGAACTGTTGGAGATGGGAGAAGCACTCATGGACTCAGATGGGGTGTAGCTCTCGCCTCCTGCCTCACCGATCAGCTCCTCTGTAGCGTTCAACACCTTCAGCACCTCGGTGGTGATGCTGCAGAGAGAGGCCGCCGAGTACTTCTGCTTCATTTGAAGAACACATACACACACACACACAGTCCAGCAGTCAGTAATATAGTAAGTTAAAAGCCACACATATTGAGAAACCTTTTAAGCGATGTTGGTGGCAAAAGGACGTGATGCACAAGAAGAGAAAATATCTTTCATTCAGTCACAGTTGTGGGACATTATAAAATCATTACAGGTTTGTGTTTTTATCAGCACGTCATGTACTCAAGCTGCACGGTTCAGTAACTGTGTAAGACAATTGTGCAGGTGACCCATAAACACATTCGACACTTGTTTCTCTGTTACATGCACATGCTTGCAATCTAAAGGTGCAGAAGAAAGAACTGGAGGTGAGAAATGCAGCAGAGAGGACGGAGGAGGAGGAAAGGGAGTGAAGGAGGTTCTAAGACAAAGCCGGAGGACAATTCCGTTTGTTGTTTTTTAGGCTTTGATCAGTTAAAAGATGTTGCAGTGAATAGAACATCTATTATTATTATTGCAGCCTAAACAGTCGGCTTAAGGATAGCAATTAAGTTGTTTGGGTGTCTGAGGAATCAGGAATTCATTCAGCTATCATATTTCAGATGAATGCTTATATCCCGGATTGTATGTCCATCACAAGCAACTCCCAAAAAATGTAAATTAACATGCAGATGAAAAATGATGGTTCATGTGTTTCCGAAAAAGTGTTGAATGTCAATGGCTCAGTTCATTTATTTTGGAATGTATGGACAAATCAGTTGGCCGAGATCTCCCACTATATCAAGATAATTTACCAAGACAAATACAAAAATAATGTTTAGTCATTGTGTTCGCTGCCAGTCAAAGTTAATAAGAGCAGCTTGTTCATCCACATCCATGCTTGTTTCCAAATTCAGGCCGCCTCTGATGAAAAATAATTCAATGATGAGGATGCCGAAAGAAAGCTGCTGTTTTTTTAATGAATAGATGAAAACAGTAAGCAAGAAAAGAAAAGAGCAGTGAAGAGAGACGGATGTAATTCAATAATGAATGAATCACTGGCTGAAGCTTTGATCAGTGGGATCGGAGGCGTATTGATCCCTCTCTCAGCCAGACAGGCAGTGTGAAAGGAAGAGTTTTAGGTGGCGACAGGAGAGGCAGGGACGAGATACAGTATTGGGTGGGAGATGAGAGGGAGCAAACCAAAGCTCTCATCTTAAAAAAAAGAAAATCACTATTCAGTGATCTTAAAAACACTTGAGAAGCCGGGATGGATGGTCTGAGATATTGACTTGGGTTGGTTGATGGAGAAAAAAACAGATGGTTGGTAAGAGTCTGATGTTCTCATCCTCGCCAAAGAAGCAGGCCATCATCAAATAGTCTGACATAGAAGTCACACTGATACTTGATGTAGAAAGATAAACGTAGTTTGGTTCCATATCAAGATAAAGAAATGTAATGCAAGTAAAGAAAATATAACTAGGGTGACGTCAGGTCATTTGGGACAGCTTTTTGGTAGATTAACAAGAAAACCGCCTAAAATATTTTGAAGACCACCTTAAGTTCTACATTTACAACTTGTTATGGACCTCTGCATTATTTCTATAAAGAAAATGTGCTGCCAAGTCAAATACTTCAGAAACTTTGGACATTCAAACACATCAAGAACCCTCACTTTCAAACTACCTATCATTTTAACACCTTCCAGGATGTGCACCTGTCTCTGTGTGTGTGTAAACATGAGAGGGAGGGAGGGAGAGAGAAAGAGAGAGAGACAGGCAAGCATACATGCACACACACTTGCATTGGGTGTGGATTTAAGTGTGACATGCACAGAGGTCAGTTTCATTTTTAGTCTCATCTTTCGTTATCGCGATCAGTGTTCTGACTGTCGTCGCTGTTCGAAGTTATCTCTCTCTCAAAGTGGTGTGTCCAGGACTAAAATGTCTCAAATGATCCTGCGAGATTCCTGAGAACCATTCATGATTCACTCAGTGATCCAAACGTAAACGCAGTCACAAACCACTAACAGTCCGAACACAAGATTAAACATGTCATCAGTCCTAGAAATATTAAAATGTCGAACACTGATATCGCAACACAAAATGTAGCTTTTGGAAATATCCGTAATCAGGGGCAGGATTAGAAACTACGTAGTGTACATTTCTATTTTGCATAAAAAGCAACAAATATCATAGTCATCGCCACGTTTTCCTTTATTCACATCAAACTGAGCCGTCCTGGCCGTTTTAAAAGGGAGCTGAAAGAATCAGCAGAAATAGATCACACTAAATGTGTCATGCACATTATAAAAGATAAACATTACTCACAGGAGCCCTTATAATGAGCCCGGCTAATGACCAACATCGACCCACACGCCTCAGATAGGTCAGATAGGACAGGTAGCGAGCGCGTAAGTGCCTGTCCAAGTGTGTGTATTTTACAGGCCTATCGACCTGCCTGTGTGGTAATCTCATGAATGGCCTGGATTTACTATGTGGAAATATCAATACTAAAACACTGCTTTTAACATAAGGGATGGTACATTCTACATCACGTTTATGAAATGTGGTACATTTCAGATTTCTTTTATGTCTAGACTTTAATTATGTCCCAATTTCATAATAATGCACCTACAGCATTGAGGAAGTACTGTATACACTTTGTCATACTTCACATGTTTTGTAGTTAGTATACAAGCTAGTAGTCAATGTACAATTATTACAGGAAAATAATAGCACGTCATTGAAACTGTAACTTTGGAAAGTCACTGTCAATCTAAATTCCCAAGGGGAAAGCATTTAGCTCATCTATTTTCTTTGTGCAGTGTATTTCTAGACAACGGTGGACATTAACAGCACACTCAGCTAAACCACGCAGATTCAGTGTACTTACATCTTTGTGTTTAGTTTATGTTGTTCTTTTTCTAGTATGGACACACTACAGTCACAGAACCTGCTTCAAATTTGTAACATGATGCAATTTGTCTATTCATATAATTATGAATGTCATTAACGTTGATTTTGGGAGTTGCTACGTTTATCTTTTTAAGGGACTTTTAAACCTTTTTTTAAAAGGATGTCATTTTTATTTGTTCGATACATGGATTTATCGTAACACTGTTCACTACATTTGAAGTGTTTTAGTAGGAGCTTATAATTTACTGACATCCATTTATAGGATATAGGGGGCAATTGTGGTTAAGTGGATAGCAGGGCCGTCTTTCAATCAGAGGGTTGGCGGTTCGAACTCCGGCTCCGCTAGTCGCATGTCGATGTGTCCTTGAGCAAGACACTTAACCCCAAAATTGCTCCCGTAGCTGTGCCTACGGTGTAGAAATGTGATAGACTCTGAATTGTAAGTCGCTTTGGATAAAAGCGTCTGCTAAGTGACTGTAATGTAATGTAATGTACTCCTGCTCGATGCATTTCAGGATTGTGTTTACAATTTACTGTAGTAAACTTTAAGTCCGCCTGCCTTTGTCTGCTTCATCTATGGTTAAACACGCACATGAAGAAAGTGATAACTATAGCAACAGCGCAGTGTTGCTTCTCACACAAAACACAGCTGGGCCTGTGGCTGTTTTGTATTCTGACCTTTTGAGGCTTTTATTAATAAAAAAGAAAGATATTTGCAGCTCTTCTGTGATGGATGTCTTCCAGTATGACTCTTGAAAACCACTGCAAAACACAGGATTTAGAAGGCCGAACACCTAAAATGTTACCATTTTACTCTATGTCTAGACAGCTGCAACATTTTCTACCGGCTACTTTAGCTGCACTGCAAAGGCCTGGAGCTTTCTAACCTGTAGAAATAAGAAAAAATACACCACCAGCAACAGGGACATTCAACCTAATCATAGATGTGTGTGTGTGTGTGTGTGTGTGTGTGTGTGTGTGTGTGTGTGTGTGTGTGTGTGTGTGTGATGTTTGTATGTATGGTAAGATGGAGGTTTAATTACAGTTGTATGTTCTCAAGCATGGCATCCTGCACAAGACACCACAGAATCCTTTTGCTTTCTAGCCAATATCTCACCTGCTGTAAGAGAGAGGAGAGCAACTGAAGCCTCTGCTGTTGCTCCAAATCATTCTGTCCCTCCTGACACACACACACGCACACAAAGAAACACACGGACCAGCCAAAAAAAGAGGGAAGCACAGAGAAAGAGGGAAAACACAGGATGAGGGACGCAGTGATTGTCATATAAATAAAGGAAGAGGAAGATGGGAGGACGAAGAGTTTTTTCGAGGGTGAGAAAGAAAGAAAAATAAATGTATCAAAAGGCAGAGAGACAGCACCAAAAGCAGAAGATGAGTGGTGGATACTAATCTACTGTAATTGCTGCTATTCTCCTTACCTGGTTGTCTGAGAGCACCCCCTCCTGGGAAGAAGGTGTAACAGCAGGGGAACTTGTGCTGGATCCACTCCATCTTGCTCCCCCTTTCTGTCCCGTCTCTTTCTTCACATCTCTTTTATGTTGTCTCTTACTTTGCCTGTGCGGCTCTCTCTTATCTCCTCTCTTTTGCTCCTGGTCATCTGCACTCTCTTCCAAACACTCCACTCCCATCTCTAACCTCCTCTCCCTAACTCTTCCTTCCTCTCTCACTGAAGGACTCTTTATTAGTCTCTCACTTCTTTTCACCTCTTGTCCGTTCACTTGTTCCACTGTTTCAATTGCTTTCTCTATTTCCTTACCGCTGGTCCTGTCTCTTAATCTGTCGCTTCCCTTCTGCCTTTCTCTTTCAGTGTCTTTTGGCCTTGTCTTCTCTCTCTGTCCGTCGCTCTCTTTATCCGTCTGTTTGTCCGCGGGCCGCTTTGTGCACTCCTCCTCAGATGAGCTGCTGTCTTTGCTTTTGGCGCGGCTGACGAGCTGGCTGAGTCTGGATCGTAGCTCCTCTTCCAGAGGGTCTCCTGGCCCTGAGCTGCTGGGCGAGTGCTGGGACCCCGGAGCCAGAGACTGGGGCTTTGAAGGGCTGGGGGCCAGTGAATTTGGGGCCACTGTGTCCAAGTCCTCTGGCTCGGGTGTCATGGCATCTAATTCGAAGGCGTCTGTTGCAGCTGTGGCCACTGGCATAGTGTCAGGTACGGACTCTTCCTGACTTAAACCCCTCTTGAGAAGGGCATTGAGTAGACAACCACTGTTCTCCTTTTATGGGGAGACAAAGGGACATAAATACAAACTCTGTAAGCATTTATCAAATCCTCATCACTTAAAAAAAGCAACTATCGAAGTGCTGAACAGATTAAAGAGCCTGAACTGCAGCACATAACACATCTGCCTCGGGGAAACAATGTTTTACACTACATTTCTCCCTGGTGGGAATTTCAAGTTAGTTCCTAACACTACTGCAGGGGAGAAGTCTTACCTGCGCTAATGGGTAGATTGACTGTGTGTAGCTCTGGCCTCCGGGTTTGCTCTGCTCTGTAGACGACTCTCTCTTGCTTTTCCTGCGTCGCCGTGATCTTCTGACCGGATCGCTCTGCCTCTCCTCAGCCTCGCTGCTGTCTCCCATCACCTGGGAACAGACAAGTACTTTTACTCAAGTGCAGCTATGAGGTACTCATACTTGAGTATTTTCATGCTACTTTATACTTCTAATTGACAACATTTCAGTGGGAAATACTGTACTGTAAAAGAGCAAAGATCAGAAAAAAGTTATTTTATCATACTTTAAACAGATTTGTGGAGCAGAATCATTGGACTAAACAAACTGTATATAAAAGGGAATAAAACATGATTTCGTCATTAAGAATATAATGTCATTATCTTATAACATTTCGGTCAAAGAAGCCAAGGAAAAAAGGATAACTTAGTACATTTTGCTTCTGTAGTTTCCAGAAGGATTTTGAACACGATGTTACTTGTAATTGTGTATTTTTACATTGTAGTATTGGTACTTTTACTTAATGTTCAACCTGCTACATAATGAGACACAGACTGAGTCACATGTTCAGAGCAAATTCATTGCATCTAATTATATAACACACATTATTTACATAAGACAATCAAAAGTTTCTCACCTTGGGGTTAAAGTTGACGTCCAGTGCCTCTGAGTGGAGTGGGTAGGCAGAGAAGTTCTGGTGAAGGTGTTGGTGGTAGAGCGGCTGGTGATGAGGGTGCAGGTGTGTGTCCGGCGGCCCTTTCCTCCTCAGCAGGTTGTGAGGCGGTTTGCGAGGACATGCCGACAGCACGGATGAGGCCTCAGAGTCTGAGTTGAGAGTCTCTGTGTTGGTGTACTGGCCAGAGGACGGCGAGGTGATGGGAAGGTGCTGGGTGTACGTCCACTCCGGGTCGTGCTGCGAGTCCGTGTAGTAAGTCTCATCGGACAGCTTGCACCGGAACTGTCGCAGCGCTGCACCCCAGCCGCCTTCGTCGTTCTCCTCGGAATCGGATCCCATCTCGTCGTAAGCCGACACGACCCCGGACTCCTTTTCCAACACACTGAACACCAGGCTCTTCCTCTTGGTTAGCAGGCTGGGCCGAGACAGCTGAGAGCTGTGCAGAGCGATCCAGTTACCGTCTGGGCTCTGGAGCATTGAGGATGCACCTGGAGAACATGGACAGACAGCAGGAAGTTTAGAGAAACTAACTCTTGTTTCCACCGGTACATTTTGGATAGGCTCTGTGACCTCAACCTCTATTAGTCACAGTGGCAACAGCAGAAGAAGTGTATTTAGTCAGGTTTTGCCAAAATAGCCTATACACTGACATTTATTTTTCCCTTCTAAGCCATCAGGGTGAGTGTTTGGCTGCAGCATAACTAGCTTAATCAGGTCAGTATGACTTTTAGAAATTGTAGTGAAACAGTAAATACAACCCAATCATGATTTATATTTCCATTATCACAAAAAAAATCAATAAAGGAGTCAACAAGTAAACATTCCCATTCTGATACAACTTTATCATCACACCCCTTACGGTGCCAGATGATTATTTATATGGGCATGAGTTAAAATACTTTACAGTTAAATTCCATAAAGGCATTATGGATGACAAGTGAGCAAGTTGTATACATTTAAAAAGGACATGGTGGTGCTGTCTTCCAATATTTCCCCCTATTATGCACTGCATCATTAAGATATTAGCAGAAACTGCTTGAATCAATGCATTGTGAAGATCAAATAGGACACACAATTTCATCTGCATCTGGAAAAAGGAGGACTCAAAGGAAAACTGACTCGCTAACTGACATTAAACAGAGTCTGTGAGTGTGATGTTTACTGGAGTTGTCCAGGCGGTCGACACTCTTCCAGGTAGGTAGGGACGTGGCCTTGCCCTCCCTCTTCAGAGACGCGTACTCCTGCAAGCCACCGCCTGCCCCGGCCCCCTCCTCCTCCTCTGGACCCTTCTCCGGGGAGTCGTCACTGGTGAGGGAGAACGCTGACCGTGACCGCTGCAAGCACACGCATAAAACAAAATGCTGTCATGAATGAAATATATAGCGTTTAGACTCAGACTCCCACCTCTGCTGAATCCACAGTAATGGCAAATCATTATCTTTCTCAAAGAAACTTCAATGAGGAAGATGTTTGACAGCTCTGGAAATTTTGGGCCATTGTTTACTTGAGTCTGAGCAGGTGCTTCAGATGTTTTATTACTGCTTTGACAGAGGCAACAGCACAGTGTCCACAAACTGTCACATATTCTGTATGATATCCATATATAGTAATTACATAATAGATAGGAGATCACTTGGCCAATCTGGCTAGTCTACTTCCTATCAATTTTGTTCAACTGTGTGCTGTGAGTCAGCAATCTGATCAGCAGATGGAGCTAGAAAACAACTAAATCACAAGGCAGACAGCAGAGGCTCTGCAAGTCTCTCTTTATGTATGTATGCATGTGTCTGTGTGTGTTTGTTAATGCATGATCATAAAATGTCTTTATAATGAGAGAAAAAAATAATAAAAAGATATTTCGCCAGTCCTCTCATTGGCAAGGGACTAATTTAAGTTACTTTGTACTTTGGATGTCACTATGATGTAGTTCAAGAGGCTGCTCCACTGAGAATGAAAGGAGCAATATAGAGGGGGTTTAAACCTGATTCAGGTGCACAAACACACTCAAATCTTATTGCTGAACATTCAGTCTTGATCTTGATTTATCATCACGTGAAAGGACTGATGCAGGTACAGTTGAAGTATAGACTGAGCTGTCTAATCGGGGACAGAAGAATCAGAGAAGAAACTATCAGTTCTTACAGTGGGTAGGGTGCACTATTAAGATTACCCAAAGGATCCATGTTAAGGCAGCACAGATTTTAGTGTGCATTTGCGTGCATAGAGTATTAGTGAGTGTGTTTGCAGAGAGCTGATAAACAGAGCCCGTCCCATGGCGGGCAGAGCAGCTGAGGGGGATCCCCTCGTATTTCGCGGGACTTTGATCTTCGCTGAGTGAAACAGTGGGAAACAGAACGGCAATGTCAGGGGAGCGCAGCTTTGATGCTTTGCTCTCACACGGGACGATGACAAATCTCCACGAATCCCTGCCTACTAGTAGCACAAACCACTGCCAGGTGTGCATATATTGCAGATTTGTGTTACTATGTGTGCAATTTCTCTGTGTGTGTGTGTTCCTGTAACCTGGGTGTTCTTTTCTCAAACCTGGAACATTTAGTGAAACAGGTAAACTGTCTTTGGATTGTCTCTTGGTTCACTCTGGTATCAATCAGGATTGGCTCATATTTGGTTCAAATCGCATTGCAATGTTTCTAATGCTTTGCTTTTGCCCACTTAAAATGCAGGACAATGCACTGTTAACTCTTCAAACTATGGAAAAAGAGCTATTAGCCATGCAGATAGGGGTCTATTTTGTTGCTTGTTGGTTTCTATCAATCTCGAGGAAAATGGTGAAATACTCTCTTTGATGAAATTCAAAGAGCAAAAAACTGTGCAAGCAATCCTCTAAATTAGTTGCTTTAATGTTTACATGTGTTTAGTTGGAATATGAATCCATTAATTTACACATTATGGCGTTTTTTAGAGAGTACATTAATACTGCAAAATATTATGGATTCATTTAAGAATGAAACATGCAACATTTCATGCGAGTCAAGCCCCTCACCACTGGCTTTCAATGCAACAGCTACAAGATCCACACACGACATCGGGAAAAGAAAGAGATCACAATACAAAGCTTAATTTGCCCAAATCGTCACCACATGTGACCGGTGCTACTAAAAAGTTACAGTGATTTTCTGCCAAACACAACATTCCTGTGTCTTTTAAAGCTGGCAAACAATCAGAGACGGCGGCCGGTCCACCCTAGTGGAACACATACCAGAACACAGACAGAGGAAGATTATACCGTATGTTGCTGTGAGATGAAGTGAGAACACCAAACCACCGTTCTTTAAAGACATGGTGCACGATAGAAGAACAAATGCTTCTGGCCAACAGTGTCTACACCCACCGACACGACGGGGCACTTTTGTTTTGACTTCAACGGATATGGACGGTATTTGTTTTTTGTTCTTTTTAGAGTTTGAGTGGTGGCAGAGGCTGACCCAGAGAGAGTAGGAGGTTTTGAGGGGGTCCTGTGGTCCTATGGAAGCAGCTTGGGGCTGAGACGGAGAGGGGAGTTCACTGGGCTGGATCAAAGACTGAGCCCAGACAAAGTCATACTCTGTCTGCATTTCTGAACGCTTCCTCCTCTGGATGATCTGAGAAGGAAAGGAGGGAGAAGAAGAAAGTGAAATTTAAAGCGAAATTAGAATCAGTGAGAAAGCTGTGAGGTATGTAAGAATAAAGCAAACTTTGTTAAAATAAGAAATAACAACAATAATTGCAAATTGGAAAATAAAAAGGCAATTCCATAAGAGCATTTTACATCTACACTTAGGCATGAATAATTTGCTATAATGAAACTTTAAAAATATTTCACATGTAATATTATGCACCGGCATCCTCAAAGCGAAACTGAAATGTTAAATTTTTTTAATTTCACCTTTAAAGACTTGATGGCCAACCAATGTTAATTAGAATTGGAAAGCAATCACACAACTGCAAACTTTACTTTGTGTAAGCAAATTACAATACTCGAATAAAATTAAAGCGGTTGTCATTTGAATCTTAATTCAAACAAGGATATCAAATACAAAGACGTCCTTTACTCAAATGGTCCTGCGACCTCAACGTCAGAAGAAGAAAGGAACTTTAATTCTTTGTGTTCCTGTGCCCTCTCTCTAACAAAATGTTATATTAATACAAATCGTTTTATTAAACATTATATTGTCAGTCAAATTGGCAAAATGAAGACAGAGGTTGGACCTAGCTTGAAGTATTACATTGTCTAGTGTTTATTTACGTTTGAATAAGGTTAACTACTCTTTCACATACAAGGGAAAAATAAACAAACAAATAAAAACATACTCAACCTACCTTTTGTACAATTGTTGTGGCAAGTTCCTCTATGAGCTCCTCTTTGTGGTCCTGCAGATACCGAGCCTCATTCTGCTTCTCCTGCGTGCACACACACACGCACACACACACACACACACACACACACACACACACACACACACACACATATTTGGTTCAAAGTGACTGAATAACCAGCGGAGTTTGTGAAGACAAAAATCATGACTGCATCCCGCTGATAGTGAAAACAGAGATGCAAGAGGCCATGACAGAGAAAGCGGGGATAGACAATAGGAGGAAATGGAAAATAGAGGAGGGAGACGGAGAGAAAAAGAAAGGAAGAAGAAACAGAGCGGTGTCTCACCAAGCTGTCACTGAACTCCTCTGCCTTAGCGATGGCCTCCTCTATAGCCTCCTCAGCAACACGCAGGGCGACTGTGAGCGTCTCTGCCATACTGTGTCCTGATATCACACACATGAGCCTCACATAAACATTTCACCAGCGTAACAACCTCTTCATCCCCTTAACACACATTCCTGCCGCTCCCTTTAATCTCTGATCAGACTGTTGGCGGTCGAGTTGCATTATGGGTAATGTCGGTGGCAGGTTTTGACAAGGAAGGAGAACATGTGGAATAGAAAAGATCTCTGGTTCTGCTGCATCAATTTTTGTACTTTATAACAATGCAAAACAATGCAACGTAGTATAACATGTCCATTTGAACAGCACAGTTTAATGGAAACACAGATCCACCACACACACACACACACACACACACACCCACACACACACACACACTGTTTGTGGGCTTCCCAAGATCTGCCACTAACTAAATTGTATATCTCATTGCATGAACAACTCATTATTACTGGCAAACAATTGAAATAAGCGTCATCATTAGATCGGAGCTAATGTGGTTGTTTGCCTTTTGTATTTGTGTATGAAGGGCTGTGTTTGCACAGTAAATGGCATGTGTCATGTGCATGCGTGTAGGAGGCTATCATTTTATTTGCGCGTGTGTGCATTTGTTCGAGGCGGCATGTCTGTGTATCTTGTGGATTTATGTGTATCTTGTTGATTTATGTGTGTGTGTGTGTGTGTGAGAATATTAACATTGTGTAGTTTAATGATCAAACAAGAACCATTGCTCTGTGTTTCAATTCACTCCCTCCCTTACACACATGCCCTTTACAGAATGGTCTCTATATGTTAAGGCAACAATTAATGAGCAATAAAGATAACAGCTCAATCTTTTCAGAAAATGGGAAAGGGGAGAAATGCAGAAAAAAAAAATCAATTTTGCTAACTCAGCAGGCGAGAAACGACTGTAAAGTGGAAACGATAATGTCGATTACGCTGTAATTGTGGCTGAAAATTACCCGTCTGCACTCCGACAAAAACTCTGCTCGTTCATCAGCACATCTCTCACCTTCACTCTGTTTGTAGAAGGCGGAGTCGCTGCCACAGATGCTGCCATCGTTGTCGTTGCTTCCCTCGTGAACGCTGCTTTCTAAAGGGGGGGGAGAGAAAGACAAATTAAGTCCGAGGATGAAAGCCTTCAAACTGACGGCTGTCACAGAAATGCAAATATTCAGCTCATATCATACCATAATAATGGAACTGCATATTATTTTACCCCTTTGCCACAGTAAAAGTAGGTTACACAGTGCACAATGCCACTAAATGTATTCCCAACTCCATTGTGTCATTTTGTCAATTGTCAATTGTATGGGTTTGTTCTTGCTGCCTTTCCCTATTAAAACACAAGAAGAAATAACATGACAGTTGAAAGAAAAGTAGAATTCCCTCCACCTTTCAAATTAACCACATGCTGGCACATATCATAGGCATACACTCAGTGCACATGATCATCACTGTGTAGTGTGTTGTTGTCTTTATAGCTCATTCAGGCCAAGTCTCTTCTGAGTTACTGCTATATTTGTATCTTTTTCAAACAAACTCCAAACACTAGAGTTACAGCGAAGGGACATTAATGTCACCCAAAATGGAAAATGTGTTATTATAATTCTGAGACAGGTCTACTTAAAGAGCTGTGAAATCCCAGAGAAGGTGTAGTGGTTGCAACATCTCCGCCTTCAAAACCACGTAATCCCTTAGTGGCCCATTACCTCCTGTTAGACATCTCTCTTGTGGTTTGCATTTATTGTCTGCTTGCTCATGGTCCAGCTGTTAAAATTAAGAGTGAATGGACGTGCAGCTTATTAGGAATGCATACTGTCAGACAGAGCAAGCAGTAGTTGCCAGTTTTGCCAGTTTTGCCAGTCCACCAAGGTAGAATATAAGACTGGAATGAGGGAAGTTAGTACATTTCCATTTCATCCCCTGACCACAGCCCATACCCACTCTCAAACATGGCTGCTCCAGACAAAAACACGAAGAGCACCCTGGCTCCGGTTCCACCTCTGGTCACTACTTCAGCTAATTTCCATCCACAAACCAGAGCCAAACCCAAACCTAACCCAAACCCAGGCCTTGTTCCAAAACGTCAGCCCCTGCTGCTGACAAAACACAACCAAACTCCTTGACTCTTGTCCTTGGCCGGTCGCGTCGCCTCCAACATTAACCTAGTCAACGGGGTCTTATTGCTACTCCTGTTGGACAGGCTGCAGCCTCTGGCTGAATGCACCGAGGCAGTCGAATGCTCGGGGTGGTTTGGTGCGAGTCGGCCTTCAAGCAGCCAGAGCCACTCACCGATCTCTGCCATAGCTAACTGTAACACCGGCAGGAATACACTGCGATCACTCTTCTACACCACAGTGTTGCCATTGGATGCATTCTTGCTGCCTCCCACAAGTCTATACCTACTAAAATACATGTGTTTTGCATAAAATAGCAATAAACTTAATAGAATTATTTCAGATGGGGTTTAATGGGCCCAACACATGCAAGTACAAAGTCAGGCAAAAAAAGAAAAAGAACATCAAATAAACTGGCATTTTCTTTTCTTTTTCCCCTTGACAGCAGCAGTAACACAGCCAGCTGTCAAATATGTTATACTCGTTCAGCTTTACTGTAAGATGAAGTGCTGTATGTCAAAGCATTGCGAAGTCTTAGTGCAGCACCTGTAAGTCAGCAATCACAAACTCTCACATTACTTCACAATGACATGCAGTGACATGCTGTAACTCAACCAGTGAAGACATTTATTTATATATATTTTTCCAAACATCTAACTGCAGACAACATCTGCCTAAACCGTAGCTTCATACCACCCTTTGTATCTCCACTCACAGGCCCAGTCTTCCCAGTCGCAGCACGGTGTAACAAGCCCCCAAACCATTACACGCTCCACCCGTCCTTCACTCCCGGAGTTGTGTCACTCTGACTGAAGCGGCGTTCGACAGAGCTGTACTGTTCTCGCTTGGTTAGAGCTGAATTATAGTTCCTGGGAGTGTGGAAGGTGACAATAGGTGGGCAAATTACCTGCAGCAGCTCAGGACAATGTAGACACAAAAGGACTGCTGTCAGAGAAAGTGAGCCGCCTTACAAGAATCACATACAGACAGGTGGGCAGCGCACGTGCACAAACGCGCACGCGCGCACGCACGCACGCACACACACACACACACACACACGCACGCACACACACACACACACACACACCGAGTTAAGCTGATACACAAATGTACAGACTAAGAAAGCTCCTGGGTCACTTGATCAGTGATATAAGTATTAAAATACTTAAAGCTGCTATTACCAATGTTTTTTTATTTTAACAAAAGGATAAAATGACAATGTGTAATTTGAAAAGGCTCGATCGAGCCAGAGGCAATATTTTAGGCACCACTCCGGATTTAACAGGATTTTTAAGATAACAGTGATCACTAAGAGGAGGCACCACATCATTGTTTTGTTTGTCATTCTTTCCACTCACGCCTGCTGTTCATCCATGAGTCATATATGACAAGGTAGCAGTGATACAATGACTAGTGTGACACAACAGAGGGATGCCTTTGTCGTTAATTGACCCTGAATGGCACTGCTGCCTCGTCGTTACAGAGATGATGGAAGGTCAGTGTGTGTGTGTCTCACTCCAATACAATCCTCACGTCCAACTTGTGTATTTTCTCTCCGTGACCACCGTCTCACCTTTGTCCCTCACCACTTGCCATTCCGCCACTCAGGGTTGAGGAGGAAGAAATGGCTCAATATCGCCATGGTAACTGCACAGACGGCAGTGGTGGTCTCCATCTTCAAGGGTGTCTGAGTGAGTGTGCATGTGGGAATTCTTTTTTTTATTATTACAACCAAATTATTTTGTTTCTTTACTGCTTTTTGTGGAACATAGTTTGACACAATTCATACACTCAAATAAAACGGATAGTGAGCTATAGGGGGTTATTCAAGTTACACCCATTGATTTAAATCTCACTAAAGAGAGGCTCTATGGCTCGAAAACACATAAACCCAGTAAAGACCAAACTAAACTTGTTTTTGTCTCCAACAATCCTGCTGTCCTTAAACATCAATCCTTCAGTGTTGCGTGTAATACCACTTAGCTTTATCACTACTACAAAATACAGCCACATAAACATTTTATTTTGAAATGTTTTTATTAAGTCTTTCAAAGCCAATTGGGGCAATTTAGTGTGTCCGATTCAACTGAGCTTCACGCCTCTAAAGTGTGGGAGGAAGTTGAAGCACTCGGAGGAAACTAACACTGATACACGGAGGAACACGAAGCCTCAAGCGACTGAGGCGTAGGAGCCTTAGGTGGATGTGGACTCCTTCTCTCTACTCTCCTTGTTCTTCTTCCTCAAACCGAGGAAGTGGCGGACTCTTGACTCAACTGAGTGCCTCATTTTTGTCAGAGACTTGGGTTAGATCTTGATCCTCATTCACCTTATTTTAGCGTGAGGCTCTTTTTCTGCCTCAAGTTGCTGCTGATGGAAGTCTTTTTGTTGCTGCAACTGCTGACTCAGCTCGTCTCAAGCTCCTTTTTTTTTTCGTGAAGCTTGGTGGTGTTTCCCCTGAGACTTGTTCTCTTTGGTCTCTGTCTCCAGCCTGGTAGAGAGCTCACCCACCTATTCCTAACTGGCAGGCAATATGCTGCTCTGCACCCTGGAGGGGAGCCTTCAACACCTCCACCTGGGTGCCTAAAGCTTTTCTTTCTGTCTCACTGTCCACCAGCTGCTTGGCCCACTTCTTGGAGCTACAGGCGGATAGATTCAGCTTGAAGGTCATGGATTAGTTACAATTTGACTCGGATCAACTTTTGTTATTGCTATGAGTGTTAGAAATTTTGTTACTCTAAAAGTGGTGTGTCACCTTTTGAAAGGTCTGAAATGAAATGATTCTGCGAATATTCTCGAAAAATCATGAATCACTCAATCTGTTCTTGACATCTTGTAGCCATGCAAACAATGACAGTCCTCTCTTCAAAGCAAAGGAGGAAGTAGTATGGACCCGTTAACACCTCGTAGCAGGAAGTTTGGATATACAAAGTGTCTGACTTTGACACCAGAGACTGCTATTTGCATCCCGTCTTATACTTTGTTTTAGTGCTTGTTAGCAAATGTTAGTATGTTAACATGCTGAACATGATAGACTAAACAATGAGCTAAACTATTTCAAGACATATTTTGTACTTGATTGACCACCATTGAGGAAACCAAAAATGAAATCTTAAGTATTGTATCACAGGTTAAGTGAAAAAAACTAAATATACTCAATATCTTGCAGTTGCAACATTGCACCACTCTGTTCCTCTCAGAGCTCTAACGATCCCACCGCTCAAAAGCTCCGCTCTTCAGTCTAGGTGTGAAATTAGACCAATAATGGGACCACTCGATGCAAAAGAAATCAGAAAATCCTTTTACAAATTGCACATTCAACGTCGGGATTAAGTTGAGTGAAATAGAGTGTCATAAAGAGAGAATATGTGGAGAAGCAGAGGGAACTAACAAAAGACTGTATAAATAAATGAGCCAGTAAAGTTCCACTTAGAGCTAACGTTCCTGAAGTGCCAGCAGCAGCAGCAGGAGGAGGAAGGAGAGGCCAGACGGTTTCCTTTCAATTACAATGCAGCATCTGGCAGCACACACAGTCTCATAAACAACGTCCTCAGAACAATGGCTGAACTGACAGGATGTCTGTTTACATCACGACAGGCTGGGAGATAGTGGAAAGTAAACAAACGATTAATTCGCCTCTTTTATTTGGGAGATAAGAATTTTACTCGCCTTGCGATGATGCCAATGCCATTTAAAACTGCCATAAAATGTGTGGGTGTTTTAGGATTAAACTGCCCTCTTGAAAAGAAGATTTCTTTTGAATCCATAATACAGACCTTTCAGGTTGTGCTTGCAGCATTTACAAGTGTGTGTGTGCAGAAATGAATTGGTCCCACGGCCAACATGGCCTTCAAAGTTCAACTCATGGAGGTGGAATGTGAAATGAAGGAGCAAAAATGGCTTTAGTAATTAGCAACACCTTTTAGTATTTCATTTTAACATTTTCATATTGTAACTACTGTCACCTGCGGGCCAT